TTTTACTGGTATAAACTGAAGTTTGGATATATGGTCCAAACAGTTGCAGCAGGATCTTTTAAGAAGTTAAAACTTGAAGGACAATTTGACAAATCAAGATTTACAGTCACAAGAGGGAACGCTCAGTATTTTCTTCACATCAAAAATGTAACCAAAGAAGACGAAGCAACATACTTCTGTCAAGAAGGATCGGCATACAAAATGGAAAATATTAATGGCGCACTGTTGGCTGTAAATGGTAAAGTATGTTTACTTCAATGTTTTTGTTTGCCATGTCTGTGTCAATACCCAATAAATGACTTAATTCCTTCCATTTTGTGAATCGCACAGATCACAAAAATCTGAAGAAATCTGTCTACATAAGACAAAGTCCGGACACTCAGGCAGTCCATCTTGGCGACTCAGTGACTCTTAACTGTTCATTTCAATTCAAGAACAATACAAGCAGAGTCCAGTGTCCAGAGGAACACTTTGTATACTGGTTCAGAGCTGGATCAGAAGAATCTTATCCAAGTGTTATTTACTCTCAGAGTCGAGCTGACAAAGATGTGATCAGGAGTTGTGAATACAGTCTATCCAAAACTATCCAGAACTCCTCTGATGCTGGGACGTACTACTGTGCTGTGGTCGCATGTGGAGAAATCCTGTTTGGTGAAGGAACTAAAGTGGAGACAAGTATGTTTTAAAGTCTTATTTAGCTATATTGATTATTATTATGCTGCTTTCTAATTAGTGTCAATAATAGGAAAGAGAAACAAAAACATTCTTGTGCTTCATAAAATTATGTTTATTTTTGGGAAATTTATCTTTTTTTCTAATAAAAAATTATTATTTTTATTAATATTTTTAAAATTAAATATGACATGCAATTTCAAAGAGATGTTACAGTACATAAGAAAGAAAAATAAAATAATATTAATACAGGATAGTATTATCTCTTTGATCAGGCCAGATGAGCGATGGTGAGTTGACCTTGTGTTTCAAACGGTCACAAGCCACAAAGGTTGGGAACCAGTGAATTAGGTTATACTATTTACAGGTTGCGAGAGGTATACTTGTACTGGCAACACCTATGTAATGCATCTATATACAGTCCTTTCATGTGTGAGGTTTGGCTGCCTCCACTACTCTCTCTTTTTGTTCTTTCTGTGTACTTTCTCTGTGTGTCTGTCGCTGTGTGATTGCTTTCAATTTCCTGAGTCACTCTTTGTCCTGTCAAGGCCCTTGCCTCTATACGTTCATCTTCTCTGCAGTTTATTTGATAATTTTTGTTGTGATTGTGTCAGTAAGGTGTATATATAATAGTTAAGTGTCTCTTTGGGATTTTTATCTCATTCCAGGACAAGAACTGTGCCCTTTCATCATTGTGCTTGGGACACTGCTGGCCGGCTGTGTGATTGTGATTGTTGCTCTAATTATCTCAAGAAATTACAAGCCTGTTTGTGAACATTGCAAAGGTAGGTTCATCGTGTGTGTATTTGTATTATTTGAGACAAGTCAGACGCCAACACTGACATGCCATAAAACTTCAACAAAAGCCTAATCCCAATAAACAGCAGTCCCTTTTACTGGCCTGGTGCCAAGTTTTTACAAATAAAAGCAGATCTCAGTTAAACGCCTGGGGTCTTATTTATAAACAGGGCTGGAAATGTGCGTACGCCACTTCCCAAGCAAATCTATAAAAAACATACTTGGCAGGAGAATGTGCAGTCCTCCACGCAAACTCTAAGTATTTTAGGCTTAAAGCCTTTCTGAATGAACAAACACCCGTTTGATTATTTTCCCTGAAGTGCGCAAAACCCCCACAATTTAAGATCATTTGCACCGCACACAAAAAGATCCAGATTTAGGATCACAAACACAAAAGATGCAAAAGAATGCCTCAAATATGTTGTACAGTTTAATCAGGTATAATATTAATTAATAAGCTACTTGCAGTGCAATTTATTCTCATAAAGAAGGTGTGAATTATATTTAAATTGATGCTGTTTTCAGTGCATCAGTCAAGCAAATACGAGAGCATAATTTCATACATTGTTATCACATGTGTGTTGCCTTATTGAGCCAAACGCTGTGCGCCAGTGTGTGGATGTGATGCGCTGCTTGTAAAAACATGTTATGGAAAATATAACACTATTTTATTAAGTAAATCTTTCGGCTTATGTCATTCACAACAAGTCATATTTCTTTTAATGATAGGCAGCCTTGTTAAGTGAGTGGAGTGTTTGTGTAGCCTAAATAAATGTTTAAACAAAGTGGAACGCATGCTTCCACAACATGCTTCAGCTTCACCAAAAGGAGCGTCAGGAGTTAAATTTCATTTTGTAGATTATCTATCAGAATTAGCCTCCTTTTCTTCATGCAGTCAGTATGTATTAATATTAATGAGGGGCGTTTCACTGACCATTTATAGGGAACTATGGGAGTTTGAAGGGTCGGACATGGAGCTCCCTCATATGCGCCACATTTCAAGTTGATTGTGATTTATAAAGGGAACTTGCTTACATTTGTGCGTATGCACAGTTTTTGGCTTTTGGGCGCATGTACACTTTTAGTGAGGATTCTATACACACAGTTTTATAAATGAGACCCCTGGTCTGGTTTTTCTTTGGATGTACAAAACCTCTTGAAGCCGATAGGGTCGCCTGCCTGAGTTGCTTAGATCATGCATACAAATATAAATGTTTACATTTTTGTCAATATGGACATGATACACATGTTAGATGGTTAGATTCTCCACAGCCCATCGTTTAATTAATTTTATGTAAACAATGAGCACCAAAATATCATAGATTTACTGGCATGGTAAAGGAATTAACAACCTATCCAATATAGATGCCTGTCCCAAGAATAGGCAGGGTGACTTCAGTGTTTTAAGCAAATAAAGTCCAGGACTATTAATTGAAGTTTTACAGTATATTTAAAAATACCTTTATTGCCATTTGTGACTTGCTTTCATTAATAGGAGGAGTAACGGCTTCCAAGCATGCTGAGCATGACAGATCAGATGAGAATCAACCAAGTTATGTGGTAAATATAATTAAATATCATCTAATGTATATGAGAATTGAATCATAATAATCGTTATTTCCCACTGGAATACATTCCATTGATGATTTTAAAAATGTAATTGTTTTCTGATCTTACACAGCTGTGGTGAATGTTTGGTTAGGCTTAGGGCCCGTGTCCACCGAACGTTTTTTTCTGACGCCAGTTCATTAATTTCAGTTCATTCCAATGGAAGTTCCAAGTTGGAAAAAACGGCAGTAGCGTGACGAGGGACGCTGAGCGCTGGGTATTTATATTCCAGTCGCCGAGAGTTGAAAAATGTTCAACTATGGGAAAAACGCTGAGCTTGTCACTGTAACTTTTTACCCAGCTGTCCAATCACAGTAGAGGAAGGGCGGGACAAATACCACACCATAGAAACGGTTACTATCATGGAACCGGGCTTCGTCCAACCTCAGCTCTTGGACCACATGGTGGTAACGTTACTTGCCGAGATGCTTCCATCCACTCTCTCTACCTGCTTCAGCCTTCTCTTCATACAGAGCAAGGGCCAGAGCAAGCACTCTATTCTGTATTTACATTCTTCCATCCAGGAAAGTGAGGTAGAACTACTTGCAACCACGATTATGTATCATAGCAACCAAAGCAGTCAGAAAAAGAATGCTGCACCTCAAAAACGCACCCTAGTGCTCCCATCTAGGTTTTTTCAAAATAGCAGCTGGCTTTTTCAGCTGGTAAAAAACACTTTGGTGGACATGGGCCCTTAGGCACTAAAACAATTTGGTTAGCGTTGGAAAAACATCATAGTTTGGGTGACAATAAGTATAATGTTAACGTTAGGAGACCTTCGTCGGCATTGTTAAAATAATGAAGACTTGGTTAAGTTTTTTAAATGATCTTGGTCATAGTAGTCAAAAAAACGGTAAACAGGTATCCCACTTTAAAGTGTGACACTGTGTTTACCAATCCATCTACCCCGGCCACATCACCAACATCACATTACTTCCTTCTTTACTCCTGATTGAAAAGTATCATAAATACTACAGCTGCTGGAGGGCTTTGTAACTTAAATGTAACATATATTGTTTATGTGTGCTTGCTGATAGGTCACAAGGCCTCTTGTGAGGACAGTCACATATGTATATATCCTAGAAATTATGTTTAAATAATACCAAATTGGTCTCCCATATACATTGTGATGGTGTAATTGCTGCCTGGATTATGTTCAGGGAAATGTGCTTTTTGAATGAAAAGGCCACATTTCTTCTACAACGTAGTAACAGGGAGGTGGTCAAAGGTAAGGAGCTTCACATCCAGACTCTGTGGTTAAGTTTAGTCAATAAAAACACTTTAGTTAATATTAGACAAAGATTGTGTTTTCAGAAATGTTAAGAAACATGTTGTGTCTCAAATCACTTCAGACTTTTTC